ACACAAAGCCGGAGGACATCTTTGGCAGCACGCTGGAGCTCGGCATGCTTGAGAACCTGATCACCACGATCAAGCCGCGGCTGCTGGTGGAGGTGGGCGTCTTTCGCGGGTCAACCTCCATCAAGATGGCCCAGCTCTTGGACAGGAAGCCCGAGCTCAAGGAGAGCTTCATCATCTCCATCGACACGTGGCTGCTCGACCTCCGCTTCGTGTGGTCGGCGCCGACAAAGGAGGGAGCTGCAACGGGCACGCAGACGCGCTACTTCAAGAACGTGTACATTGGTGGCGCCTCCCACATGTACTACATCTTCCTCAGCAACGTGCTGTTCACGCGCACGCAGCACCGCATCATCCCCTTGCAGACGGCGTCATCAAACGGAGCCATGGCGCTGATTGCACACCGCCTCCGACCAGACTTGATCTACCTTGATGCATCACACGCGAACCCAGACGTGTTTGTCGACCTGGAGCACTACTACAACGTGCTTGCCCCTGGCGGCGCCCTGGCAATGGATGATTATGAGGTGGCGGCAGTGCAGACGGCTGTTGATGCGCTCGTGCGCAAGCATGGGCTTGAGTTGCAGTTATTCAACAAGGGCACGCAGGCGTGCGTCATCAAACCCGAGAGATGAAGAACAAAGGACAACTTGGCTGCTGCTGTGTATCTGTAAGTGTGTGTGTGTGTGTGTGTGTGTGTGTGTTTCTGATGTACCCACGTGTGCTCCAGTGACTTTGCCCCCTTTGAGCAGCTGTGATGATGATGATGATGACGCGCAAGTGGCATTGGCTGTGCCGGTTACGATTTGTGTGTGTGTGTGTGTGTGTGTGTGTGTGTTTACAGAGCGCTTTCCTTGGCACGCGTATCATCATCGGTTATGAACAACAATAAACAAAGCCATCACACATGCATTGCAGCACGGCAGCGAATACAGCAAGAGAGAGACAGAGACAGAGAGAAAAAAAAAAAGAGAGAGAGATAGCAAGAGAGAGACGAAACAGGTGGGCATAGAAGGCGTTTACAGAGGAAAAAGCAGACCGACTAGAAAAGGGCAACAGAGGCGTTGTTGCTGCTGCTACTTCGCTGCAGATGCTGTGTTCTCATGCCTGCAAGCAACAAGGAGACGTGATGCGCAAACAGTGTGGTCGCGAGGTACCATATTAGAGCAAGGGGACTGTGAATCCGGCCAGAGCAGGCCTGACTTTACAACGCACACACACACACACATACACAGACACACAGACACACAGACACACAGACACACAGACACACACACACACACACACACACACAAACACAAACACACACACGATGGCAGCGCAGTGTGCGTGGCAGCAATGCGAACATGACAGATATGGAGCAGTTATACCCACCGCTTCGCCGGTTTAAAGTTGAGCTGAACTGTGGGCGGGTGGGATGATGAGCCGTCACCTGAGCACACAACACGACAAGTGCGAATAAGAGCATGTATGCATATCCGCGCAGTGCAGTGACAAGTGAATGGGTGACAAGAAAGCGACACGCCACAAGACGGTGGAGGAAAACGTGCCAAGCACTGCTGTAGCCACAGATGGGCGTAAAAATCACAACAAAATGACAACAATGACATGACAAGGTGCAGTCACCCACCGAAACCCATGGTGTCGTGTGCCATCTGCTGTCGCTTCACCACCTCTGCAAAGTACTTCACAATGTCCGCATCACTGTCAACAAACACAGGCACACATACCTGTCAGTGACATCGAATTTGCGTGTGTTCGTGTGTTCGTGTGTTTGTGTGGTTTGTGTGTTTGTGTGTTTGTATGCGTATGTGCGTGTGTGTACGCGTGTGCGCTTGTGTGTGTATGTGTGTGCGTGTGTATGCGTGTGCTTGTGTGTGTGTGTGTATGTGTGTGTGTATGTGTGCTTTCGTTCAATGAAGACTTGAACACAACTCACTTCCCAACGACGTTGAGCTTGTCCATCGTCTTTCGCTGCGTGATGATATCGAACCACGGCGTTGCCGCCTGCGTGCTGACTTGCTGTAGAGAGCGGCAACAGCCAGCAAAGAAAAATGAACAGTGATGAGCACAATTGCAGTGGCGGCGAATGCAAAACGACATCAAAGCACAACGAGCTCTCAGAACCACCACCACCACCACCACAACAACAACAACAACAACAACAACAACAACAACAACAACAACAACAACAACAACAACAACAACAACAACAACAACAACAACAACAACAACAACAACAACAACAACAACAGCAGCAGCAGCAGCAGCAGCAGCAGCAGCAGCAATAACAACAACAGCAGCAGCAGCTGTGTGTGCGCGATGCAGGGAGGAGAGCGCATCACGTACCGGTCTATATTGCGTCTGGTGCGTGCGGACACAGAGGCGGTGGTAGTAGAAGTACGCCTTCCACGCGAGGTCAAGATAGACCTTGTGAAAACAGGACAGTAGCGTGGACTCAAGGCGCGGCTGCCAGTCGTGGTGATGGACGGAGGGATGAGAGTTGTGCATGAGCGCAAGGAAACATTGGCACACGCTGCACCACCACTCAGCATTGCACACACACACACACACACACACACACACACACACACACACACACACACACACACACACACACACACACACACACACACACACACACACACACACACACACACACACACACACACACGCACACCTTGAGCGGGATGGAGAATGGAAGATCGAGGGCGTCGCCAGTGTATGTGAGACCCGTGAACACGTCCTCGTCCAAGTCGAGGATGGAGATGAAGCTGCATAGCGTGTTGTTGAGATGACATGAGGAGGTGCAAACGGTGCAGCAGTGAAACGCTAAAGGCCAATGAGACGCAGGCACCAGCTCTTTCTCGCACACCGCACACGCATTCCACCACAGCCTCGTGTCTAATCACGCGCCACAGCGCACGATGGGGCGTGAGTATTCGGTGCACTGACTTGAGGAGGGGCCGGTGCATCTGCACAACACACGAGCGCGGCATCCCAATCAGCTTCACGGTGCTCAGGTCCGTGAGTGTCAGCGTCGACGATGCTCGCCACGGCACCACCTGGCACGCGCAAGCCAATGCATTGCAAGAACCGGGGTGAACGGCAGCAGCGGTGTGAATGAAGGCGGTATGCGTGGAAATGCATTGATGTAGATGTGATGGCGCACCTTGTTCCAGGACGAGTGGCCGACGACAAAGAACCAGAGGGTGCGAACAATTCCTCGAATCTCCTCCTCGCGTCCAGGCGATCCTGACGGGCAGCAGGTACGCGAATAGGCAAGTAAGCGAGCACACTATGAGCAAGATCGTGTGTCCACAGTGCGTGTGTGTGTGTGTGTGTGTGTGTGTGTGTGTGTGTGTGTGTGTGTGTGTGTGTGTGTGTGTGTGTGTGTGTGTGTGTGTGTGTGTGTGTGTGTGTGTGTGTGGTGTGTGTGTGTGTGCATACAGGGCACGCACACAGAGGCACATTCAGAGACATGAAGCAAAGGGGGGGGGCGGTACCCATGACGACGACACATCTTCCGGTGAGGAGGGCGAAGACGACGTGGCGCGCAAAGGAGAAGCGCTGCATAAACTGCACAATCCCGGCACCTGCAGACAGCGAGCGGTATGCGGTGTTGATGGGTGGTTAAGGGTTTGGGTGGGAAGCAGAGCGGAAGAGGAAACAGCCCAAGAGTTGTGGCTTGCACAAAGTTATGCACGCATGCGCACCTGGCTTTGAGCGCGACTGGTAGGATGTGTGATCTGCCGAGGACTGGAAGGAAAACTGCCGTGTGCTCGTTGGCGTGGACCAGCCGTCCTGACGGTACGTGACAGGGATGCTCATGGCGACGCTCACGTCTGCGTTGGTGGTACGCTGGCCGCGCTGTGGTGATGAGAACACGGATGCAACTTCGGAGGCGGCGACGGAGCCGAGGACAAGCTGACGCGGTCGCGCACGCTGCAGACGGCCTGATGATGGCTGTTGTTGTTGTTGTTGTTGTTGTTGTTGTTGTTGTTGTTGTTGTTGTTGTTGTTGTTGTTGTTGTTGTTGTTGTTGTTGTTGTTGTTGTTCTTCTTCTTCTTCTTCTTCTTCTTCTTTTGCCCCTTGGTCGTGGTCTTTTTTCTTTGCTGGCTGTTGGCCCTGGTGCACCGCCACCGAGCCATCACCGCCTCCCTCTTCCACGTCCGAGTGCTCCCCGCTGACGAGATGGGGATGGTGCAGGTCGTCCTCCACGCCGCCCACCAGCGTGGATGTATCGCTGTTGTGTCGCTCGTGTGTGCGCACGCCATCACCACCACTGTCGTCACCGCCATCGGCACCTTCAGCACGTCCATCCATACCACCACCACCATCAGTATCGACACCACTCGGTGTGTCCCCACGAACGTCATTCTCAACAGCACCACCCCGTTCACTGCCACCATCATCGCCGCCATCACCGCCGCCGCTGTGGTTGGCTACCAGTGCGCGTATGCTCTCCGCGTTCGCCTCCTGTGTGTCTTCGGTGTGCGCTGTGAACGCGTCTCGGTCTGTTGGGGTGCGCACGTGTGGCGTCGCCTCAAACGACCTGGACAGCGGCCAGGACACATCGGAGAGCAGGGTGAATCAATGGAGGTGGGACGGCAGCACTTGTTGCTTGCCTGCACGCGAGCCGACACCACACAGCAAAATAAAAAACACATGCAAACACACACACACATGTCACACACATCACACCACAGTACACACCACATCACACCAGCGCACACCACAGTGCATCACTACACCACGCCAGTACATCACATCACACAGCACAAGCGTTGCGTACAGGTCTGGGTCTGACGGAACATCGCTGATGTCGAGCAAGTTGGCGCCACCGGACAACTGCCGGAGAATTTGTCCGCCGCGAAAGGACACCTGGTCCGCGCTGTCAAAGCTCCAATGGTCCTTGGCGCTGATTGCAACACCCATTGTTGTAGGAGGTGATGATAAGGGTGTCGGTGAGGGGGTGGTGTTTCCGATGAGAGGGGGTGGACAGCGAAGTTGAAGGACGACAAAGCATGGCACCAGTCCACCCCGTTCCAGGTCAGCTCACACCACATCCCATCGCGTCCCAGAACGTATCAATCCTTCATGTCAATTCCGTGCCAGCCCATTTCACCTCCTCACCTGTGCATCGACTCCTCATCCTCGATGATTGGACCGTCCAACACCCGCTCATCCATGTCCGAAAACGTCTCCCGTGCAGAGTAGAACGACAGCACGTCGTGCCTGCACCCGTGGCGCCCGAATGGTGTGTGTGTGTGTGTGTGTGTGTGTGTGTGTGTGTGTGTGTGTGTGTGTGTGTGTGTGTGTGTGTGTGTGTGTGTGTGTGTGTGTGTGTGTGTGTGTGTGTGTGCACGTGAGCACCTGCAGTCATGACGGCCACCATCACTACTAGTACCACCACGACCACCACTACTCACGTGTGCCGCGGGCTGGACGGAGATTCGAAGAATGAGTACGACGGATCAAAGTAGGAGCTGTCCGTGCCGTCACCGGGGGAGCCTTAAAGGCGTGCATTGTGTGTTGTGCGTTGGAGTGTCGGTGGTGATGGCGATCTCAATAGCGAGCGCAGCGCTGGCGTGGAAGATCTTCAACGTCGATTGTGACCCAAACAACACAGCTTCAAACAAACCAATCAATACCACACACGCGCGCACACACACACGTGCACATGCACATGCACATGCACGCACAAATGCGCACGCACCTGATGGTTGGAGGAGAAATGATTGACTCGAGGTGTCGAAACTGTCAACAAACAGAAAGACATTCATGATACCATGTCAGGGAGGGCCGAAACTCAGACCAGACACACCCAAGACAGAACAGCGCTTTCTCACGTCACACCAGGCTTAAAGGCACGTAAAGCTTGCAAGCAAGGCAACCATGTAAGCACGAAAGCATACATGCATGCACGCGATTCAGTGCAGTTCGTACTGGAAGGTGGGTCCGTCGAGTGGGCGGCGACGGCGAGCGGGGGAGGACAGCAGTGGTGTGCTGTAAAGCGACATTGGTGCATGCGTCACGCCGTGCTGCTGCTCGTGTGATGGTTCCTGCAGATTGTGAAGGGGCGGTTCGAGGCAAAGAGAAGAGGGATGAAGGTGTGTGTGAGTGTGCGTGCGTGTGTGTGCGCGCAAGAGAGAGGAGTGTAAGCAACCGAGTGTGAAGGCTGAAACGCCAAAACACAAAACTTTGCAGACGCAAACACACAGCATATGCAAACAAAGCACCAAGCCACCACCACCACCAGCAGCAGCATCATCACCTCGAAGAAGTTGAGGACGACGCATCTGCCGATGGTGAGGAGGGTGCAGGGCGGATCCAAGAGCTCGGCCTCCTGGGCAGACATGGCGAGCACCGTGCAGCGGCGGCGGTAGTACTCGAGCAGCTTCTGCAGTCGCGAGTGCACCACGTGGTAGTACGGCTCAACCAGAGCGCGCAGCGGGCGCAGCGGCGACGTCGCAGTCGTCGTCTGCATCACACGTGAACGAACGCGTGTAATGCGTGCGTGTGTGTGTGTGTTTGTGTGTGTGTGTGTGTGTGTGTGTGTGTGTGTGTGTGTGTGTGTGTGTGTTTGTACAGTTGTAAGCAAGTGTGTGAAGTTTTTTTAGTGTGCGTGTGCGTTGGCGTTGGCTTTGTGCGTGAAGATGGATGCATGTCAGTCGTTGCACGCGACACGAGCCACGAGATCAAAGCGACAGGACACCATGCATCACTCATTCAACCCCCTGACTCACCTCTTCGCTCTCCATTGAGCTTGACGAGTGGAGCAGTGGGGCGTCGCTCCCAGAGAACGACAGCCCTGCATTGCAACGCGGATGCATCGCAAGCGTGGGAATGGGGGAATGGGGGACACAGTGAGTTCGTAGGGTGGGGGGTTGGGTTGGGCTGGGGGTGAGAGCTGAGCTTAGGGTTAAAATTGAGAGTTGAGATGGGGCGTGGTGTTGGTGTAGGTTTGGTGTGGCTTGGAATGCAAACAGCAGCATGCAAACATTGCAAGTGTTGGCATGCGCACGTGTCAGAACAGACAACGCCCAGATATAGCCCGCGCGCAGTACCTCGCTCTTTCCTGGGCGTGCTCTGGGACCTGTGAGGAAAGCGAGAGGGGCGCCCAACGAGACACACGGAAGATCATGAGACACACCAAGAATACACGATGGCAACGTTGCATCACAACACCACACCACCACAACTTCAGCGTGTCCATGCATGTGCACACGCCCAACACTGCACACCAGCAGTGACCGCGTGCATTCCATCTATGGTGTGACATGACAGTGACTCACGTGTTGAATGTGTGTGTGCGGGACCGCACGTTGCTTGCTCCACGCCCTTCCAAGTGATCCAGATACGTGCGAACATTCGTTCGCTGTCGTGTGTGCATGTGAGTGAGTGAGTGAGTGAGTGTGTGTGTGTGTGTGTGAGTGTGTGTGTGAGTGAGTGAGTGAGTGAGTGCGTGTGTGTATGTGTGTGCGTTGAATTATCACAGCACGTGGCTTCACGACTTCAAAGAATCCACATGCACCATATAGTGTCCCCTTCCAATTGCCCCCACCGACACCAGCCCGGCTCACCTCCTTCCTGATAAACGCCTTTGCTGTCTGCAGGATCTGTGCATAGCGCTGCAGCCGAAACTCCGTCTCCTTCAGCCGTTGCTGTGCATGTGTGTGTGCGGATGTGTGAGCGGATGTGTGTGGTTGGGGGGGGGGGGTAAGGGCATGAGTGTGTGTGTGTGTGCTTGTGTATGAGCATGTGTGAGTATGTGAATGCGAAAAGGTTTACAAGGGGAATGTGCAGACAACAGCTTGCACTGCAGGTTGTCACCTCGGTGTCCTCTCCACTGGGAAGATTGGACAGGAAGCCTGGTAAAAGCAGCAAGCAACCAAGGGCTGCGCATGAGAGATAACATCATCACATCACACACGCTCATGATATCACACAAAAGAACATGGGTATACACGTTTTCATCGCATTGAGCACGCTCGCGCGCATGTCACGCGGTGCTGACCTTTGTTGAGCTGCAGCTGTCTGAGCGTGCTCTCGAGATCGGAACGAAATATCTCCATGTTCGCATAGTGCAGCAGCTTGCACACCCTGTGCACGCAATAACAGTATCATTCAGAACTGCGCCAGCGCACACCACACCGGCCACGCAATTCACGCCCAAGCAACGCGCTATACACACACACACACACATACACCCGCGCGCGCACACACACACGCACACAAACATACAAACACACACACACATACACGCACACGCACACGCACAAACATACAAACACACACACACATACACGCACACGCACACGTATGTTTTCAGATCCACGTACACATCAAGTTCCTGGATGATGGCTTGACTGTGTTGCGTGAGCTTGTGCTGATCCTGCGTCACGTAGCAGAAGCAATAGGTTCGCGAATACCCGCGTGCCTTGATATCGCACAGCGTCACAAAGTTGGACTGCAACAGGAACGGCGCGTGCAAGCAGAGTGCATGTACACAAACGTGAGAAGAGGCAGCCAACGCGGGCAGTGGTGCAGGTGTCTGTGTGTACGTGCGTGTGAGTGCGTATGTGTTTGTGCGTGTGTGCGTGTGTGTTTGTGCGTGTGTGTGTGTATGTGTGTGTATGTGTGCGTGCACGTAGACGGGACACTCGTGTCTTTGTCACTGTTGCCCGGCTGCAGTGCGTCGAACCAGAACGTGCAGATTGGCCTTTGGAAAGTCCATGATGGATTGAGCGTCTTGTGCCAACTCAAAGTGACCCGCGTGCGTGCTGTTGGAAAAAATGGCCAATAACAATGGAGAGATGAGATGGAGAGAGGAGAAGAGGGGCGTCAGCATTGATGTTGCACGAAGTGGAGGACACAGCATCTTGCACACTTGAGTCCAATGACGCCACATGTCTTCACACACGGCAACATGAGCACATGTGCACGTGCACGCAGATGCACTTCCTCTCTCTCTCTTTCACACACACACACACACACTCACTCACTCTCACACGCAGACACACTCGCTCACTCACACGCACACACTCTCTCCCTTCCCCTCTCCCTGCTTCTGAACAACTCACGATGCTCCAACTTGAAGGTCCGATGTGAGGACCGTCAGGACGAGCTCATTCAAGAAATCATGCTTGACTGCCGGGAGCGTGAGCTGATCAAGAACAATCCACAAGTTGACAGTGAAAGAAGAAGCCAGTACCGATATAAGTCCATATGAGGCAAACAGCATATTAGTAAGTGTGTGTGGATGCGTGTGTGTGTGTGTGTGTGTGTGTGTGTGTGTGTGTGTGTGTGTGTGTGTGTGTGTGTGTGTGTGTGTGTGTGTGTGCTAGTAGACGCCCGGTTCACGACACCCTCTTGCCTCCCAACTCCCCCCCCCACACACAATGCGCCAACCTACCACGGCAGTGGGACCGACGACCTCGCAAAACTCGCCGACGAGCAAGAAGTCTGGGATGTAGCGCTTCTTTGGCATGGCTGCTGCAACGGACAATGCTTGTGTATTCCAAAGACGGACGTACAGCAGCACTTGCCCCTATGCTTCTTCCGTGATGGCACGCACACCAACAGTGGTGCAGAAAGGACACTCGCAACAAGCAAGCAAGCAAGGCCCGTCTGCTTCCTCCTCCAGCCAGCAACCAGCAACACCTCTCCTTTTGTGTGTTTGTTTGGCTTGAAATTTATTGAAGATACCCGCGAATCGCCAACAACCACGATGGCACAGGACAAGGATGCTGACGTGCGCCACAGCACGCACCAGCCGAAACAGCAGCAGGAGGCACAGCAACAACGCGAACAGGAACGCCAACAGCCACAGCAACAACGCGAACAGGGACAAGAACGCGAACAAGCAGGAGATGAAGCAAAGCCGGTTGGGTGGCTGAACGTGATTGGGTTTGTCATAGGCTTGCTGTTCCTGCCCATTGTGCTGAACAGCGCTGGCCTGCAGCACGAAGCACTGGCGCTGCTGCCGAACAGCACCGCT